CAGAGTCTTTTACATAAAAATGTACTATTTGATGTGGAAATAAATTTTTTTCCAAATTTTCCCAGTAAATTTTCATCAATTTTCACTATTTTTCACAAGTTTTTTGAGGTTAGGAAAAAATTGTGACGTGATGGGCCAATTCTGACCCCAGATTCGTGTTCAGGAGACCAAATTACTACGAAAAATATGTCGCATAAAAAGTATACCCAACTTTTTTTTGTGTGTGGCTGTGTTATTTATTGAATGAAATTCTTCTTTTCTTTGTCAGATTGTCTTTTGATTCATTTTCTTGTTTGTCTTCCATATTTTCGTGAAGAAGTATGTTGAAAGCATCAAGAGAATAATCATCAACATTTTCACATTGTGACAACAACAGTTCCATCGAGAAGTTTGTCGAAAGCATCAAGAGAGTCTTCCTCTATTTCAATATTAGGAGTTTCAAGTGCATTGTTGTAAAATGTTAATTACGTTAATTTTTAAATAAAAAAATTATCACCTCGTCATAGAAAAACATTTTTTTTTTAATTCGTGAAAAAAGCAGTTTCTTTCTTTAAAAGTCATTTTCATAAAATAAAAATTGAAACAGTTATTTGAAAAAAACCAAAAAAAATGCAACTTTTTCAGTCATTTTTTGATCTTTAAAATTAATAAAATTGTCAACATTTTTTAACAGCATGATATGATAATATAACTCTTTACGAAGAAAATAAACTGAAAATCGTTATTGTAGGGCTATCCACTGAGAAGATCCAGACAATTTTCGAGAGCACCTTTTTTTCAAAAAATCGATATATCGAAAAATAATTAATATTTTTCAAAAATGTACTTTTTTGGCTAGCCGCGGGCTATGCTTGCAGTAAATGGCAAGTATGGGAACGTAAATGTAAACAAGTTGTAGAAGAAAACAGAAGATTTTTAACGGTTTTTTCGATATATCTTGGAAAGTAACAACGCAATCGATACTTACAAAAAATCAGTCGAAAGATCTTTTTAAAACATACAACTTTCTCATTTAAAATTTTTCAATCGGTGCTATATTTTTTAAGTTATTTTAGAAAAATCGTTTTGCAACTTTGTAATTTTATTTTAACCATGTTCACCATTTTGGATTGAGTTTAAAGAACTAAGAACTGAACTTAAAATTTAATTTTCTATAGTCATATTTTTTTGTCCAGGTAATAATTTCTGTAAGCGTTTCTCTATAATGCTTGGACTAAGTGACATCCAATCAAATTCCTGACCGTCTGAACCAGTGAATGTGGGATAGAATGACGCTACTATAGTTCTTTCCAAATAGTGGTGGTCTAACATAATGTCAAGATATTTTTGTAGAGAACCCAACTTCCAAGAAAATGTAAACTTTTGATTTAAAATTTTAAAATAATGAGCTAAACAGAAAAGTGCAGAGACGTACGAACGCGGGCGACCACATGGCAAAACTTCTCGACAAAGAGGAAGAATGCAAGAACGAAATTTACAAGCAAAATTATAGTGGTTTCTAAGAGACGGAATCAGATATCAAAATTGTGTTTTTATATTTTAGAGCCGAAGAAGAAAAGGACGATATAGTGGACTTGGTTTTCAGTATTGACGAGAGTATTCGACAACGTAGGGGAAGGCGAGTAGAAAGAGAGAAGGAGGCTGGTTATGAAGGCATATAAGGTAGAGTCGGTGTCTACTTAGAGAAACAAAACAGAAAATTACAAAGAACGTAATTTATAACATTTGAAACTTACAGCAAGTTTAAAGCAAGTCAATCAGGAAATCAACAGGTGCGAAGTCAGAGGCAACAGCCTAGAGCAGGGGTCGACAAGTAATTTTAGGTGGGGTCGGGATACTTTTGAAAATTTTTAACGAAGTCCAGAAAAAAAATTTGTAAAAGAAGGTTTATCGGTACAAAACTATTTTTGAAGCAAATTATCTTCTGCGAAGCCATTCACCAATCAGTGGGAAAATTGTAAATGTGCGTCGGGATCTAAATTTTCAAGTTTTTGAGTAGGAGTTAAATGAAATCTCCGAGGAAGTTGCTTTTTTAAAGTTTTGTGAACATTAGTTTTACCTACATTTAATTGTATCGATACACTGCGGACACTTCATAATTTGCATGTGTGGAGTGACGAGAATCTTAAAGAAACACGACAATAATGATATTACTTGATAGCCACAGCAATCAACATCTTGTTTTCATCGTATACTGAGTTTTAAATCCGTGGCATTACTACGGAAACCAAAACGTACAGACCTGCAAATAATGCCATTTTTCTCAAGCATGGTTTTCTGTAGGCAATTTTCTCAAGGATTTTTTTAAAAGAAACGACCTTTTCAATGTTGCTGCCAGTTTTAAAAAAATACGACCACTGTAAAAGTTTTGACCGCTAGAAAGGAGAGGTAACCGGAGAAAACTATCACCCAGTATAACGATTTGACTAAAGCTTTAAGAAATAATACGCCATAATAGTCCAAATAAATGTGCCAAATTTTAACGCGATCGGCAAAAGAGTTATGAAGTTATTAATTAAATTAGTTTTATTTTTGACAACTTTCAAGGCCTGTAACTCAAAAACCAAAAAGTTTTTATTTAATTTTTTTTCGTATTTATTTATCGTCCTGAATATGCAAACATTGTCGGTAATATTTGCGAACACCCTGTATACTGCTGTTTCCGATTTTTTTAAAATTAAGTAGTCTTACTTTGTAGATGTGCCTTGTGCATTTATTTATATCCAAAAAGAAAATCTTTTTTATTTAAAGTTGACCAAAATTGTCAAATTTTCAAGTAGAATTTGGAAAAAGTTGAAAATAAACAAATTGTGATGAAAAACCTCAACTTTGATAAAAGAGTGCAATCTAGAAACATGTATGAATTTTATTTCAACAAAGTCGAATATGCCACACTGGCAAAACCTAGTAAATAGTAACTGCATTATGAATTATTATCAATGCTCTGAATTAAGGCCTAAAAGTATCTAATCAAGTTTCTATGAATTTTGTTAACGGCTGTGGTAAAATTAAAAAAAAAAATAATTTATCTGTGTAGTGGCTCCAACTCCACATATTAGAGAGAGTGTTCCTGTATCCCTTATTTTGACGTTTTACTAGTTTGTAACGCAATTTTTTAGCCACCCTGTATTTTTCAAAATATGTATATTAAATTTACCATGATGAAGATTCTTGCTTAACAATTTTAGGGTTGTTGAAAGCATCTGGACATTATGAGTATAATCCTTACTTATTTTAATTTGCACTCACAAAATAATAGGAAATACGATAGATAGGAATATTTGTATTCAAAAATCAAGGGTGGCACTCAAATGTATTGTTATCTATAGAAAAATATTTTTTACATAATTTGAGTATTATACTTTCAAAAAATTTTTGGCGGTCCAGGTTTTTACCTCCCGCGGTCCGCCAGTTGCCGACCGCTGGCCTAGAGGATAAATGGATGCCTACTCAGTAAGAACTAGTGGAGGTGGCCAAAATAACAGAACTGGAAATATTATAATAACTTGTTAGGTGAGCCATATTAAAACTGTTCTCAATGTTGTTTTGTCAACATTATTGTTCTTTATAGAAAAACACCAAAAAAATGTAAAGTGAGAAGACAAACAGGCAGATAGAGAAAGCGTTTTCTGGTCCTATGATTCAGTGTAGATCAAGCAGTTTGCCCGTAATAGAAGATATTCATACTAGCTGGAGCGTTGCGCTATGAAAATAACATCACTCCGTTGTAGTATCTGGCACTTTCCGTGTACATAACCCCCTACGCTATAGGTCAAATAGCGCGCGCGCGTGATAGAAAACATTTTTCTCGAGAATCGGTTTTAATTTTGAATTTAAGCTCTTGGAGATTTTATACGGAACATCCTGATATTACTAGGCGGTGTAAGTTATTTTTTTAATGCTTAATTTTTTGTGAAAATGCTTAAAAGAATAACAGGGTATATAACTACATTTAGTATTTACTTTCATAAAATTATCACAATTTCATAAATCATAAATAGTAAGTAGGTAAATAGGATGTATTCAAATAAAATGAAATTAAAGGTACACTTATAAAAGATCTTCGTAAGTGTAAGAAAATCGTATAATAATTATTAACTAGGCAATAAACCGATTGCTTGTAAACAAACAGTTGCGGCTGCTGCTTTTGCCTCTTTCTTATTATTGCTCGTAACATTTGGTTTATATTCGCAACCATTGAGAATAACCTAAAAAAAAAATTAAAACAGTAAATTTATTTCTTCTCTAAATATTATATACAACCTTAAAGAGGAAATTCTTCTTATGGTCTGGTCCACATTCAAATTCCAACACGTATTGTGGTGCGCCTAATTTTCTCTTTGTAGAATACTCGCCCAACAAAGACACTGGATGTTTACCCTGTAAATTCTTCACACTTGCTGGGGCCTTCTGTTTTTTGACCCTGCCGCCTTTTTGTTCTTCATTTGCAACCAGACCTCTCTTATCCAATTTAACTTCAAGTAACAAGGGTTCTAGTGTCCCTGTTTTCTCTTTACCTAATCCTTCCCCAGGTTTCCATCCCATCTTTTGTAAAAGGTGCATACCCATTCCTCCAGACACTGGAGCTGCAGTTTGAAGTTGATCCTAAGAATAGTTGAAAATAGTGAATTACGATTTTTACATAAGCATGGCTCCAATTCTAATTTCGTAATTTATTTATAACCTGTTACGATAACTCTAATTTTAACAGAAAATTTCAATATTGAGATGAATAACTAAAGTATTCATTAAATAATTATTGAGATGTTTTTTTTACTTTAAAAAATCTTTTCAAGGATTGAATAAATTTCTTTCTAATTCTCATCTGTAGTCACAATAAACACAATAATGTGTCCTATGTATATAACGAACAGGATCTTTTCTCATTTTAAATCAAAAAGCCTTAATGAGCCAAAGGCACTGGCAAAGTTTAAAAATTATCACCTTGATTCAAATATTTCTAAAAATGTTTGGCTTATATTGGTGAAACTTAAGTTAAAGATAAAATTGGAGGCAAAAATTTGCTGAACTTATACAGGGTGTCCGGTAAATAATGAATAACGTTTTAACCGTGGATAGGGGACCCTAAGGTCGTTCAGAAAATCGACATGTCGAAGTACAGTAAGTCTCTTCGTATTTCAGTTATTTAGTTTTTTTTTCAAATTTTCCGCCATATGTTATTTTATTGGTCACTACGGCCACAAGAGAACGTATTATCTTTCAGTTATTTTACGTAATATTCTTGAATTGTGTTATTATTATCAGACACTTTTCAGAATTTTTAACTAGCAATAGTAACTCTTGTTTAAAAAAATTTTAAACTTAAATTTTACGTTAGTCAGCGAAGATGCAAATGAAAGCTTCAAAGGTCATTCATAAGAAGGTGCAGAGCCTACATCAAGGAAGGCGGCAGACAATTTGAACATTTACTGTAATTTTTAAATAAAATTAAATAATAACTGAAAGGTAATACGTTCTCTTATGGCTGTAGTGGCCAATAAAGTAACCTATGGCGGAAATTTCGAAAAAAAAACTGAAATAACTGAAAAACGAAGGGACTTTGTACTAAGACAAAAGTCAATTTCTGAATGCCCTTAGGGTTATCCATTATTTACCGGACACCCGATATGCCTCTGCCTCTGAATATTTTAAAAATTTTGATTTCTAATTGTTTTCCTAAGAAAAGAGGTATCTTCAATTAAAACAATGCTTATTACATAGTTAAATTTAAAATATCTCTAAAACTACTCAATCAGAAACAGGCATTTTTTCTCTGAAATTTAATTTTAAATGCAGTATATTAAAGTTCAAAAAAATCACTGGCATAGAAATTTTACATTTTTTTTCGGTTGTTCTTATTTTAAAACTGTATTTCAAACAAAAAAGTCCTATACAAATTAAGTCAGAATTAGGTGTAAAAAAATGTAGCCCAGATATTTCTGAACAAAACCAAGCGATTAATCGAACATACCTCAGTATCAAAATGCTTTCTTAAAAAATTATCGGCCTTCACCGAAATTTTTTTCTTCATTTTTCTTTAGTTTATATGTCACTTGTTAAGACTTTTCAATGAAACTTGTCGGAAGACTTTTTGGGACAACCAAGCATGAATATACGAGCAAGTTTTGAATAACTATTTTTTGTAATTTAAAATAAACCTTCAACACAGTTGAATAAATCAAAAATAACTCCAAGCTATACATTTCACAAAAAAAATTCTAGGAATTTTTTGTTAGAAATATAAGAAATCATTGGTACAGCAATTTAAATTTATTTTAGAAAAATTTTAAGACAATGATTTTTTTTGCACTTTTCATAATTATATTTACAGTATAATTCTAAAAAATTCATTTAAAATTTGATAAATCAGGGTTCATAGTTCAAAAGTAGTATAGAATTCCTCGACTTTTCCAGGTTTTGCCTGACTCATAAAAAAAAATCCAGCTCACTTGTAGGTCATTTTTACAAACTAATTGATGTTTACGCATTCAACTTTTTCTAGACTCGACTCCATAATATTTTTTATATCCAAAGAACCTATTATAAAGGTTTCAAAACCACAAATAGTTTTCTCTTTCAAGAACTCGGGACCTGCTTTCACAAAATTTCCAGTAGTAAACATGAAATTCCCTGATTTTCATGAATACATTTAAAATTTCCTGCCTACTCCCTGTTTTTTATGAAGAATAATGAATTCCTGGTGATTAGTTTTGGAGGTATTCTAGATGTATACAACTATGTCGAAGACATATTTTAATAACAATTACCAAAATACCCCTCAAGACCTTCACATTTGGTGTAAAATATAAGCTTAAAAAGTCAGAGTTGTCATAAAAATATTAGACAAAAAAAAATACTTTCAAGACTAGTAGTTACTCTTTTGAAGAAGCATTTTGGTACAGAAGCTAATTGCTTTGTTCCAATCAGAACAAATTTTGATTAAATTTTGTATACTTAATTAATGCTCACCTTGAAACAAATCGATTTAATTATTTTTGGCAAATTTAATTTGACGATAAACTTTAATTTAAATTTAAAAAAATAAGTTGAAAATTACTATTTTTTCAAATAAAGTGGTAGACACTTTTTCGCTTTACGACGTTAGTGTATTTTTGCCTTTAATTAAAAACTACACAGGCCGACAAGATTTTAACCCAACAACACAAATATAATTTCTCAAAGGATTTTGTTGAGCTGAATTTGTAAATTTATCAATTAGCTCTGGTTTTCGATATATCCTAATCTAAAAGTGCCACAATCGCGATTTTTGACATATTTGAAGTTATGTCACAAGGAAAGGTAAATTTTTGGTGAAGAAATAAGTCAAACTACTAAATTTCAACATACAATTTGCTTATTTAAAATTATTATATATTTATATTATAAATTTACTTATAGGTTAGGATATCTCGAAAACCAGAGCCATTTGAGAAATTTGGACCTCAAATTCAATTCAACACACCAAAATCTTTCGGAAAAGTACATTTTGGTTAGAGGGTCAGCCAAATTTTGTGAGCCTGTGTGCCTAAGATTCATCTATTTACACGAAACATCGTCAATAAATGTGATACATTTTAAAAAGTTTAACACCCTGTACCTTGAAAACCAGTGACTTTAAACCCTTGGTCATTAACCTTATTATGGCTTTTCGGTGTGAAGGAGTCCAAAGACAAACCTTCTGAAGTTAGTACATTAGAAAACACCGTGTAAATATTTATACATATAATCGAGATAATAATGCCATTATTGTCTCAATTTCGTTATAAAATTCAAATTCATTATAAAGTTTGATTCTTGGGCGTTTATTACAACAAACCATTAATCTTGTTAACTTAATTAATATTATGAAAACGATTATAGAAAATCAAGAGATTTTCATATCAAGGAAGTTACTTACCATAAAATAAAATTTATTTTAACTAAGGCAAATTTTAGAAAATCTAAATGCAACAATCACCAGGTTGTTTCTATTTTTTGTTACATATAGACTTTCAGAAAGTTCTCAAGTTAAAATAAATTTTATTCTCGCCTATGAGGCCTCCATTTACAAAAACTTACCAATCAAAGCTTTTAGTGGGTCGCCACGATTCCGACTGGTGCACCTTGATATTATAATGGCCTGAAACAAATTCTCAGGTGGCAGATTTCATAAATTAGAAACCGAACTGCTTTGATTTCTAATTTATGAAAACATCACTAGACGGCTTTTCAATGCTATGCAGAGCAAATTTTCGAGTAAACAAAAATGTACATATTTTGTTTAAACTCAAAATAATTTTACTGTAAAGGCTCAGGAAGTTTCATTGAAAAGAAATTAATCAATTATGTGGATATAAAAAAATTTTATTTGATAAATTTTTATTAATCTTTAACAGGAAAAATTCTGTTTAATAGTTGAAGAAAATTTAATTTTGATTATTTAATGTAAAAAAATATATTGGGTAATTTTTTTAACCTGAAACTTTCAAATATCTCGAAATATAAGCATTCTACAAAAAAAAATGTCCACAATCAAAATTTAATAATTCCCTTGAAGAAGTACATTAGTGCTAAAATTTGTCCCCCTCCTTTTAGGTAGGGTAGGGGGTGACTTTGAAATCTTAAATAGCAATCCCTATTTTTTATTGTAGATTTGGATTCTATGCCTAAGTATGTAGGATTTGTCTGAAACATTTTTTTGACAAAATTAATTTTTTTTTCGATTTCTCATCCTGAGGACCTAAGCATACGATTTGGAAAATGAACTGGCAATATTACTTGAAGACTTGAGCTTATAAGTGCAACAAAACGTATGGTTTCAACATGATGGTTGTCCAACACACTATTCGGTACTTGATCGTGTGATTTCAATGGTAGCCAGATCGGTAGAGTTGGTCTGGTAAAATGGCCTGCTAGATCACCCGATCTTACTTTGCCAGATTTCTTTTTGTGGGGCCATCTCAAAGATAACGTTTACAAACAAGAATCAATAACATGCGAGAATATTACTGAGCGAATCAGAAATGCTTGTGTTGAAATTTAAGCAGACACACTTCTCAGTTGTACAATCATTTGAAGTGCATGTTGTTAAAAAAATGACTCACGTTAATAAAGCACTCCAAAGGGAACAGAAAACTACTATGTCCACCTCGTTGCTCCTGGGTTATGCTAAAAGTAGTTCACCAGTTATTTACATTTCTACAGGCAACAATTTCCCCCGATTATTTGAAATTTGCAAAATGAACTTTTTTGATGGTGAATTCTGAATATTTACAGAAACTTTTTTATTACAAATGTGTTTCAGAATCTCAGTAGGAGAAACCGAAAAAAATTGAATTTTTCAGACAAATCCTATGTACTTTCCGAATCTGCAATAAAAAATAGGCGTTCCTATTTAAGATTCACCACCTACAAGGAGAGGAGGGAGGGGGACTAATTTTAGCAGCAACGTATTTCTCCCAGGGAATGATTACATTTTGATTATGGAAATTTTTTCCATAGAGTGCAAATTTTTTGAGATTTTTTAAAGTTTCAGGTTAAAAAAATCATACGGTATAATGAATTTATTAAGAAAATATTAGTAGTCAATGAAATTAATTTATAATAAAACTTCCTGCTTATGCCTG